TATTATTCCGCCGACTTATTTTGGCCCTCTTCTCCTCCCACATTCAACATCGCAGAAACTCCGTTCAAACATCAAAACGTTCAGCTCGGTCGGGAATCGCAGGCTATTACTTTTCTCATTCATAACTTTCATAATTCCAGAGATACATCCCATAATTCATCACATTTTTAACCATTGAAGTCAATGGAGAAAATCTTCAGACTTCAACAAATCTTCATGCGACTTCAACTGCCAACTGTTCATTCATACTTTCACTCAGAAACCTCATTCCAACTTTAAAATGTTACACATCTTTCTGACATTATTGGTGTCACACAACTTTTAAATCTGATTCTGACTTTTATATATTAAACATTGTTCAGACCTTGTTAAAGAGGTTTTCTTCAGATTTTAACATTAACTAGAGTGCATGATGTCACAGCTAGAGTGGAGCAAATCTTGAAATTTGCCTTCATATATTTTTTAAAACTGCCATAATTCCCAAACCCTACATTCCTGAGACATAATTTTTCATGACAAACGTAGGAAAACATCTCGTAGCTTGAAAAATGACAAATAATTAAGCAAAAATAATTAAACAAAATGCCTCTTGAGGGCATGAAGTGACAAAAACGTTCAACATGTCTCCATTAAAACCCATTGTATTTTCAGGCAGATATTTCCTCACAGCAGCAGCCGCACACCTTTAGTTAAACTGCCAAAAAGGCCACATTATTAACCCGAAAGTACACAAAAATTACACTTCAGATACTCAACTTCCTTGACATGCTTCACGTTTTGAAATTTCACAGATATCTGTTATCGTTCTTCCACAAAACGTTCACATGTAAGAGGTTTATCTCTCATTCAGAACAATGCAAACCTTTGATCTCTACAGAGCTCGTTAGCTCAACTATAAACACCTGTGTAATGGAACACGATGATGTCATCACTCCAACTGACAGCAGTCAGTTCTAACTGTTCATTTCTCTCTCTCTCTCTCTCTCTCTCTCTCTCTCTCTCTCTCTCTCTCTCTCTCTCTCTCTCTCTCTCTCTCTCTCTCTGTCTAACGATGCAGCCATCAACGCATCTAAGCGTAGTATGGGGTGTCATCAAATGCCATTGCCATGGCGACAGACCACTCGCCATGAAACACGATGTCGCTGTAAGTCCAATGGACACGGTCCAATCGTCCCCCAATCTTCACTTGTATATCACCGGTCCATGCCTCAACAGTTCTACACCAAATCTGAAATCTCACCATATGCCGTTTCCATGGAAACGCATCCCTCGCCATAAAACACGATGTCCCTTTAACTCCTATGAAAATGTTCAAAAAGTGCTCAAAATTCACATGTCTGCTAACAGTCCAGCTGTGAAGACATCTACGAGACAGTTTTGAGATTTCTTCAAATGCCGTTGCCATGGCAACACAATGCTCGCCATGAAACACGGTTTTCTCATAACTTCAGTGAAAATGCTTCAAACGGCCCAAAACTTCACAGGTTTGGTAACGATGCAGCCATCAACGCATCTAACCGTATTATGGGGTGTCATCAAATGCCGTTGCCATGGCGACAGACCACTCGCCATGAAGCACGATGTCGCTGTAAGTCCAATAGACATGGTCCGATCGCCCCCCAAACTTCGCTTGTATATCACCGGTCCAGCCCTCAACAGCTCTACGTCAATTATGGGGTTTCTTCAAATGCCGTTGCCATGGCAACACAATGCTCGCCATAACACACGGTTTTCTCATAACTTCAGTGAAAATGTTCCAAACGGCCCAAAACTTCACAGGTTTGGTAACGATGCAGCCATCAACGCATCTAAGCGTATTATGGGGTGTTATCAAATGCCGTTGCCATGGCGACAGATCATTCGCCATCAAGTTAGTTCAAAAGTTTTGCAGTTCAAATATTCTGCTGCTTTTCCAAGCCTTTTTACTTTCTTTTCTTCACTCATCACACATTCAAGCCCCCAGTGTTCATGTATCATTTCAATCTAAATTCTTCACTTTCTTCTTACACATTACATTTCAGCATAGCAGTTTAGCGTCAGCTTTTCAGCATAAAGCATTCCCACTAGCAATTTCTTCAGGAATTGCATTCTCTAGTTGACAATGTTGTTCCAAAGGCAATGACACTTGAAGAAGTTCAAACAGAAACAAAGAATGATCCTATATTATGTAAAGTGATGCATTTTTTGAGTGCAGGACACTGGAGACATGCACCACAGGACTCAGACTACACTGATTATCCAATGCTGCAAGCACTCTACCGCCTACGAAACGAACTGACAGTCAACGCTGGAGAGAATGTCATTCTCAGAGGAACACGACTTGTGCTACCTACCTCTCTCCAACATAAGGCAATAAGCCTAGCCCATGACGGTCATCTTGGCATTGTTAAGACCAAACAACTGGTAAGAGAAAAGGTATGGTTTCCAGGCATAAATGAAATGGTGGAAAAGATGATAAAACACTGCATACCATGTCAAGCAGCAACCTCCCAGAATCACATGGAACCACTTAATATGTCTGAACTTCCCAAAGGTCCATGGCAAAATGTTTCTATTGACTTTACAGGACCTTTCCCATACTAAAGTCCACAGCAGCCACTACAGTGATTCCCAAACTGGACAGAATCTTCTCATCCTATGGCATCCCACATGTGGTGAAAACAGATAATGGACCTCCATTCAAAGATTTCAGCCACTATCTCGGATTCAAACACAGAAAAATAACACCGTATTGGCCGAGAGCTAATGCAGAAGCTGAACGCTTCATGAAAACATTGAAGAAAACAATAACAGCCACACACACTGAAGGAAAACCATGGAAACAGAACCTCTACAGTTTTCTTAGAAATTACCGTGCATCCCCACACGGTACTACACAGCTGACTCCAGCCGAGTTAATGTTTGGGAGAAAACTCAACACCACTCTCCCCACTCTTCATGTGACTCAACATCACACACCTGACACCAAACTCCAAGATATTGATCAGCGTGCCAAGCAACGCATGAAAGAGCATGCCGACCGCAAAAACAGAGCTCGACCTTCTATCCTCAAACCAGGTGACATTGTGCTATGCCGTCAGAATATCAAAGGCAAGCTCATGACTCCTTATGGAAGCAAACCTTACACCATCGTGAAGATCAGAGGATCAATGGTGACAGCAGCTCGCCCAGGACATGAGATAACACGAAACTCCTCACACTTCAAACTGCTCCCACCTTCAGTTCCTATTGGATCTGACTCAGGAATGACTGACGAAGAGGATGATCTGGATCTACAACTTCCTGACCCACCAGATGAGGAAACTCATCAGCTTCAAAACGAGAATATCAACCCCGACGGTCCTGTTCCAACCAGATATTCAATCAGAACAAACTTACTTGACTTAAAGAAGTCAAGAGACTGTAGATAGTTGAACAATTACAAAAAGGAAATTTTTGCTAGTGACAAAGAAGACTCAGTCATTGAAGTTAAAACATTGAAAAATTCATTTCTTTATTTGATTACTAAGAATAAGAGACCTTTCTTACTGAAATTCGTATTCACATTTCATTAATATCAAAAGTCAATGTTCATCTGAAATAAGGGAGGGATGTAATGTTGTGACATACTCTTTGGTCCGGAGTTGTGAATGTGAATACCCGGAATGTTATATGAGTGACACCAGTTATGATGTAGTACAGAGCGTGAATAAAGCACAGTTAACGATACTCGCTGTCTCCTGAGTTGTCTACAATAAAGCAAGATACACATACAAGAGGACAACACTATATTGCCAAAAGTGCTTTGTTTTGAACGTTCATCAGTATTATAATCAAAAAGAGAAATATGAACGTTAGTTTTTACTGGAATTATCAAATAAAGTCAACATTTCACAGTCTTTACTGAGCTGTGTGGGGTTTGTTCAACTTGTAAAAGATGTTTGAATGGTGATATACACAGTGATAGATGTTAAGGACTAACGTTTATAATAAATACAGTATTTATTTTTAAGATCTTTTCATACAATCATACGTATTGGGATCATTTGTATTAATGTGGACCGGAGGAAGAGGGTGACGAGCATAAGTTTCACTTTCCTTTTTATTTCAATTCCAACTTTGGTCATGAAGAATATGTTTCTCTGTTGTCCACGTTCATAAAGCATAAAGCAACAGCATCAGAGCACGGTGCAGAGTCTCTCGATGAATTTACAGTCGTCCGTCGTTCGTATTATACATCCATGTTGTAGTCCGTTGTATAGAAAACTGGAGTTTCCATAGTTTCCCCACAGCAGCAGACGCGGACTATCTGCCGTCATGATTTCCGAACCTTTTCTGTGCTTTTGCCGGTCGTTTTCCCTGTTTTGGGTGTGTTTCGCAGGTTTATCGCTCGCTGTGCGAGCGATTGCAATAGGGTCTTCGCCGACCTCTGGTCTCAGACCCTAATATTAACATTAGTAATAAGCTTTATATTTGTATAGCACCTTTTATCCAATAATTGTAGCCAAACTCGCTTCACAGCAGTTCAATAGACAAATTAGTATAACATGACAGGATAAAAGCAATGTAGAGGAGCTACAGCTACATTTCAACAAATATATCCACTAAGATTAATACATGAAGACTTGTGACTCGGATTTGACTTGGACTCTTCTTGGGTGACTCGGACTTGGACTCGGACTCGAAAAGTGGGGACTCGAGAGTGACTTGGATTCGTGAATTGGTGACTTGACTACAACACTGGTTTGTTGTTGTTATTATTATCATTATTATTATTTATATTATTATTATTATCATTATTATTAGGGTTAGGGTTAGATGACGTAGCAACAGACATATGTAACATACCGGCGGTAAATTCACCTAGACTACAACATAAAGTACAAACCAACAGTGGCTACAACATTTTGCAAACCTGCAGCAAGATTGGGCATTTTAATGGTATCTTGTTTTAACCTGGTGCGACCTGCAGGGGGCAGTAACGGCCGCTAACGAGAGTACGCTGCCAGAAATAAAAGTGTAGAAGAAGGGCGCAGACTCCTGCCTACAGGAAGTGTTGAGTTGGTGCTGGTAGTAGCTTTATTTCTCTGTGCTTGTTTATTTCATTGACTCTGACAGAACATATCCCTGGTAAGTCTCTGAATTTACATTAAATGTAGTTAGCATGTTAGCGGTTGATTTATCTTATCCAGATAAACCACCCGAATGAAAATGGCTTGTTAGCATTAGCTAGGCTGCAGTGTTGGTGTTAACTGGGTTCTGTGCTAAGTGGGATGTACTTTTCATTATTTTACTTTAGAACACACCATGTTAACTATCCATGGTGTTTTAAATATATTTCACTCACCGTAAACGTAGCAGTCTGAACTGTTTACGTGTTGCTACTGCCCCCGTGTTAGCATCAGTCTGATAGGGGCTAAACTTTGATGCTACCTATTTGAACGGAAGTTAATGCTACACAATTTGACTTGGACAAGTGTTTTGTGTTAGTTGTTCATGTGTACTTCCTTGTCTTATTAACGCAGCTGACCGGACGCAATAACGCAATGTGTTATGTGTATGGCTGTGAATTCTGGTCAGGGTAATATTAGGGGCAATATTCAGATAAGCAGGTCACTTCTGCGATTGTTGAATGGGGTTTGGTCCTTTTTTTTCCCTTCATATAATTGTATCTTCAGTGTGTACTCGCGGCAGACAGTGTTTGTACAGTAGACCGCGTGCTTTGTGTGTATCACTACTTTTCTCCACGTAGACACATGTAGCGACCTTTGACTTTTTCCTGTTTACATTTGGGGCAGGTCGCTGAGCTCATTGAAACCATTGCGGCCCCAGGGACTTTAATGGCATTTTATATGGGAGATATTCAATAGATAACTTATTCAGTTAAACAGGTTGCCAAAATACGCCTACTCGGAGACTTTTGTCTTGCAATTTACAGAAAGCAAAATACCATGTGTTACAGGTTGACTAGCCATAAAGCTAGAGTCCAGTACTCACTCTGCACAGAAGTTATTGTTCTGCTGCATAGCACTGTGGTGGTATTCAGTCAATCAGAAATGAATGTTAGAACTTGGTTTAACTAACCACCAGCCAGTCAGGAGATGGGGGGGCCCTAACGTTGCCTAATATACCAACCACCCCCATTAAGACCAAATAAACATGTCCGTATGGTTATAAAAGTAACAGAAAGCTAAAAGAACATTATCAACAATAACCATACTTTTAGTGCAAAATAAATACATGTTGTAGTTCTTTGTTCTTTAATCTGCATTTACAAAAACACATGAACTCCGATTTCTATGAATAAATGTTTTGCATTACAAGTTTGTCTCAGTGAAGAGCAGTGCAGTACAGACAGTGACACCTTTTTCACAAGTGATTTCATGTCCCGATCAAATGGGAGAAATCCTGGACAAATATATATCTGTATTTTCTAAAGTTATCATGTTGCTCCTGCTGACTGAGTATATGGTTAGTACATTTACTTAAGTACTATACCTAACAACACTTCTGAAATGCCACAAAGGCCTCATCTTGTTGTAGGAGAACATCACTCTGCCGTTACAATATGTTGACTCTGCATTTTGGTGATGAAATCATGCTTAGTAGTTCTCAGATCAATGGAGCCATACACTGCATCAGGCAGAGCAATGCATGAGAAATTAAGGATTTATGTTTAGTCCGATAGACCCACCATATACTCGCTGACGCGTCATAAACATTTCAGAAAATGCAGATACTATTTGACTGGTATTTCTCCCATTTGTCCTGGACATTGAAATCTTCCCTGACACATTAAAGGGCACCGCCATATGGAATCTGTTTATGTAAAATTGTTAACTTGTGGCAAAGATGTCAGTCTTTTTGTACGGCCCTGACAGAAACTTGCATTGTTCTGACACTAGATGGCAGGCGTCCCTCACGTTTGGCTTGTAGCGCTGCTCTCTGTACTGATTTCAATTGGTCTCATTGCAGCTTTTACAATGCAGTTTGGATTATTTTTTGCATCTCTTAATAAACTTATTTCAACCCTACAAGTGTGTGTTACTTAGACTGGTAATACAGAGGAGTTTTGCAAAAGCTTTGTAGCCTCTGGTACAATATGTTTTTAACTAAATACACAAGTGATGGGGAAAAAGCACAGAAACAAATGGTTAAGGCCCTGCCTGCTGAAAAAACAACTACAAATGTTTTTTGGGGAAAAAACACAAAGGCAGCCAATGTTTTTGCTGAATCTATTGCCAATTGTTCTGGACGTAACTTGTTGCTATAACCCAGACACATTAAGAAAGGAAAAGTTGCATGGCACATGATGGAGGCTCACATTTATCACAGTTCATCCTGCCTTTACGATACGTAATTCCGCAAATTCAGATATCACAATAAAGTTTGATTTTGGATATATTGTGCAGCCCTCACACACGCATCAAAAGTTGAGTTGTCAGGCGGTTGTTGGGATACACTACAAACAATGTCGTTTATTTTTTACTCTATCCTAAGTAGGCCACACAGTGCATGTTTTAGTATAGTAGTAAGGTTTGATACAACTAAAGTGTCCAGACAGAGCAATAAAGTCAGAAATGATTGAGAGATTTTGATAATAACACCAGACAAACAGACTATTTGTTTACTTTTAAGTGAATGGTCAAATACATTTGACACAACAATTAAGGCTACTTGATGTTTGTATGATGACTTGTATCCCATAATCTAAAGCAAGTGTTCATAGTCCACTGACATGTACTGACACCGATAGCTGTGTGGAAGGCTAATATCTGAATGATATCTCTAATGGCTGCTGTTGTCTTGTGTAGGTCCGGCTGGATGCTGCCTTCACCTCCTCCATCCTCCCATTCCAGCTCAGCCTGTTGAGTGTGTGCATGTGTGTGTATGTGTGTGTAAATTGAGTCTTGATCCATGTGAGCATGTTTCTGTAGGATAGTGTATGCGAGTGTGTGTGTGTGCCCACCATGTCCCCGTCTCCCTCGCTGTGTCTCCACCTTCCCCTCCTGCTGCTTCTCCTCACCTCGTCTGACTCTTCCCTGGTTCCTGAAAAGGAGCCGGAGACCCAGCCCAGCGCCACACCAGCTAACTGCACCACTGGATGTGAGTATTTGTTTTCATTTATTTAAGAATGGACAATGCACATTAATTAATATGAGCACTTGAGTCCATCATGTAAATATGCCAGATTTAGCCATAAAGGATTTTTTATCTGCAGTAGCTGGCAGGTTGATGGCATTAAAGAAAACATAAGCTCAGAAAAAACACTAAAGCACAATTGAGGCAAATATAAAAGCACATATGCAAAATTAAAATCAGATTCATACAAACCCATAAACCCACAACAGACACACAAGCACACACATGAGCACTTCTAAAAGCTTCTAGGTTCAAACCATTAGAGAAATAATGAATAACCCCTGTTCCAGTTGATGACATGTTTGATTGTCATATAACACTGTTTTACAGATTTTGAGAAAGAGTTGAGTAGGAGTCAGGTTTCATACATAAAGGAGCTGTGACCACGTGATACAGCAGAAAATGCCTTTGCAAATGTGTACATGTCATTTGGTATATATGTCCGCTATGCAACGATGCAGCTGTTCATTCATCCAAAATCAAAGCTGGTAAATGTTTGAATGTTTTCACTATATAAACTGCATTTAAATGTGACCAAAGCAATACAAGTTCCACCATCTACACGGTGTAGATACGTGAGGGATAATGTGCAGCGCGCCAGTTATTAATAAGAAAAGAACCCAGACTGGGCGAGCAAGGTTCCAACAAGAAGCCGAGAGATCTTGATTCACCCTGAAGGTGTTTTCCAAACTTTTATGTTTTATAACTAATTATTACACTGCTAAGTTTAATACTCTATGCTGTTGGTCAATTTTAAATATTCTGAGGTTTGCCCTTCTTTGCTAGCATACTAGTGTCTAGACAAGAACAAGAAAACAGTGCAAGAGAAAGTAAAAAGAAAACAGAGAGAGCTGGACAAAATATAGAAATCATCAGAAGAAAAGAGACGGGAAGCAAATACTGACAGCAACACGGTATGAGCTCTGGCAGTGTTTAAAGACTGCTTAATGACAAAGGAAATGTGAACAGACTTGGACAGTTAAAGAAAACTCAGTGCTGCCTACATCTTAAAGGGGACCTATCATGCAAAATGCACTTTTGTACGTCTTTTATACATGAATATGTGTCCCCGGTGTTCCAGAGAACTCACCAAGTGTCAGAAAACACAACCCTCTCTATTTTCCTCCATACCCAAATCTCTAAAAAAGGGGCTGCAACGGATCTGATCAAAACTGATCCAGATTTGAACACTGTCCTGACGTCAGGACAGTGGCGCTACGGCTATTGGGCCAACTCCACCAATCAGGAGGAGACAGCCACGGCCATTGCCGTTAGAAAGCGCTGGAGACGCTGTAGTACATATGCCAGGCCAGTAGATGGTGCTGTTCTCACTGAATCTGCCCTTGCAAATGCAGAGCTAAAAAATGTCAAATTGAGCAAAATGAGGCATGGCTAAAATGCATGATCTGTTTGGTATTTTGAAAAAAAAAAAAAGTATAAATATGCCTTATATAGGTATGGCCCTACACTATATTATTCAAATATAGCATGATAGGTCCACTTTAAGTTATGTTGCCATTGGATCGCAGTGGAACCGACTATCTCTTTCAAGCGGAAGCAACACTGTCATTTTAAAACAAATATTATGAGTCAAGTCTTTTTTTAGTACGTTGCCGCTCGCCTTCTGGATTCTACTCCTCCTGCCGTTGTTCGTTTTCTCATGTATGCCCGGCCTGCTGCACACTTGATGTTTTTTTCCTTTTTATTGAGCTTAATCACTCATGGACTTTTTTGTTCCCCAGGTGTTAATGGTGGTGGCAGTCAAAATGAAACAGATCGACAGATGAATGAGTCAATAGACGGACTGGAGAAGGTGTCCCTCAACCAATCTGCATCCATCAACCACATCTTAAACATCTCTGTAGTATCTTCAACTCCACTCAACCAATCTTCAGAGGCACAGGCTGCTCATACTGCGCCCATCACCAGCACTGCTGCTACTACACCCACAATTGCAAGGAATCACACCTCAACTACACCCACACCACCTCCAATAACTCCAAAAACAACTACACAAACAACACCCTTCATGACAACATCAACGACTCCACCAACAACAACAACAACTCCACCAACAACAACAACAGCTCCACCAACAACACCAACACCAACCACCAGACCACCACCCTTCTCCACAGCAGCAGCGTCAAACCCTGCAACAACTATAAAAACTACAACCCCACTACCAAAAGCTAACACGACCCTTATGGTGACTACAACCAAAGGTACGCAACAGACGAAAGCCCCAAGCTCTGCAGCGCCACCACCAGTTCAGACGTCTTTACCCAAAGAGACCACCACCGTAACCGTCAGGAGCACCACTACTGAAAATAACAAAGAGCCTGTTGCCTTTGGAACGGTGGTGGAGGTTGCTGGGTTGCCGTTGACACTGCAGCTGGTGGACACGGCGTCTTTACTCTCCGTCTTGCTCTTTGGCCTACTCTTCTTCTTGGTCTCGGTGGCCGTGTTCGTCACTCAGGCCTACGAGAGCTACCGGAGGAAGGACTACACCCAGGTGGACTACCTGATCAACGGCATGTACACAGACTCTGGGGTTTGAGGGGGGAGGCACAGCGCGTCTTATTGCCTGGAGACTGTAACATGGAGGATGGACAGCATGGTGCCGCTGTTGATTCACAAAGTGAGTCAGTGTTCCTGTTAGACAGTTCACAGGAGAAGAGGGAACGGACTACACCAACAGCCCTGATCTGCTCCACTTAACTCTTGTTCTTCCCTGCTTCTCTTTCTTTAATGGCTTCAATGCTAGGGGTTTGGTCCCAGTTTGCCAAATGTTGAGCACGTTGCTTAGGTTACCTGTACGTAACCCCGGTTCTATGCGTATGTGCGAAGCCCTCTATTGGTCCACGGCAGATCTCCTCCACTGCTGGTCAGTCAGTCCAGCTGTGGTTGGTCAGCGTGGCTCGACCAATCAGGATGCTTCCAAGGTAAAACAAAAAGAAACTGCTGAACATCATTTTTTCTTTACTGAAATATATGTGTAGGCCTTATTGGCAAATTGTTTCAGGTTTTGTATCTTTTCCAGATGAATGTATTTCAACTCTTAATTTATAGCATTATGCATTTCTTTCCACATTCAAATCGATGTTTCTATTTGGAATATAAGGTCACAACGATATGAAGGACCGAAGCAGATTTGTGAATATAATATACGAAATGGGACTTTATTTCACATAAAAGGGACTCAAAATGTTAAGTAAAAACTCTTTACAAATGCTTTGTCAACCTTAAACAATGACTTACAAGACGTCTTAAGAATAATACACTAAGAGGGCTAAGCAATAATTCAGTATAATAATCAATATCCTTCGTATCAAATCTGATCATGTGTCTGGGCAAAATGTGAATATTTTAGAAAACTTAACTGAGGAGTTCACTTAAAATTGGTCACTTACATTTGAATAATTGTTTCTGATGTAATACATTCAGCCTGTCTGTCTGAATGCTGTTACTTGTAGTTATTTTTTTATATGTAACTGATAGAAAAGATGAACTACATGTGTGTCAGTTGAATTATCTTTTGAATGTAGCCAATAATTAACATCGAGTGCAATGGAAAAGATCTGTGACCGGGAAACCGTTGGTGCACATGAAATCTGTCTGACAGTGATGGTGTGTGTAGCATTTCTCTCTTGCGGTTTTCAGTTTGTTAAACCTACTTTTGACCTTGGTAATTAGACTGAGTAGGGCTGCACGGTTTGGAAAACACAAATAAATTGCGATTATTTTTGATTTGCGATTTTATAGGAAAAGAACATTTACGAAACATTTTTTATTTTATCATTGAATGACATTAAAATGATCAACAGGTACATTTTTTTTTTTTTAAACAATGATTATGAATTAATTGTGTGGAAAACAGGACCTCAATAATTCATTCAGATATTTTTTACATATCTTTCCTTTACAAAATATTGCTTCTACTGCGATTTAGATATTGCACTGGTCCATATTGCGATTTCTAAAAAGGTATTTCTAAAATGTTCAGCCCTCATCAGGACATAGCACTCAGTTCTTTTTCAATTCTACCTAAAAATATAAGACATAGATAGAGCAGACTTTGATTCCGATTAAATGTTCGATGAATTGTGCAGCCCTAGTTCTGAGAAATAATGATACGTCAACAACATCTTAAACTGTTCAACATCTGTTTAGACGAATGACAGATGTTGTTATAGCCTAGCTTAGCTCAACTCCTGCTAGCCTTTCACATTCTTTGTTACTGCAGCCAGCCATTACTGTCACCATTTTATAATGTGGACATCGCACTACTGCAAACGACGAGGGTTACTATGCCAACATGTTTTACTTTCTTTTTATATCAAATATTTCGCAAATGATTGCATTTGATTTCAGAGTCTTATGATTTCACCGTCGTTCCATTAGCTTTCATTGATGACATTTCAGCTGCTTAGTTTCTTGTTTTTGAACGTGTCCTGCAATGAATCATGGGAACGGCCCCATACTAGCTTATTTCAATACATTTCATATTTTGCTCACAATTAATGTCTTTTCAAAGGCTCTGCTATTTCTTATCTTAATTTTGAATTGTCTGTATTAATCCATCTTCTGTCTGTATTAATGACCAATGTATGGGTATTATTTTGTCCATTGTTCCTAAACAGAGAATTCATCTGGCTACAGATATAACTCTGTATATTTTCTCATGTTTTAGTTTTAATGTTTCATATTTCATTTATGCATTTCAAGCCATTTTTCCACTTTAAAATGCATCACTTTTTTCTCATAATTATTCCATGTGTTATCCTAATGAATGGGTTTAAGTTGCCATTATCTTTCCCATAATGAGTGAGAAACTGAATTATGGAAGTTATAAATGTGAAAGCAGGTGTCTTAAAGTTTGCATTACAGTTGAAAAGTGATGAACACACACTCGGCAGTAACTGTTACAGTTATGACCAATATGTAATATTAGGAATTATGGACGGATGTTCTAAGTTGCTCTCAATAGATCTCCAGAGAACAAACAAACGTATTTCTTGTTGCCTTTCTCTTCCCTCGACCACTTTGTATTAGCGTTCTCCTCCTGAGGGTTCATGGTTGATGGACAGTTGCCAAATATTCACTGAAGCACATTATTGTAAGATAAAGCCATGGAAACATAAAGCCATTACTAATGATATACGATCATCATGTGAAACAGAGTATTTGTGCAGTAATTACAGCAAAAAGCATTACCTTAATCTCTTTATTTTATTTGATTATTATTTTCCACATCTTTAAAGTTTATGTCACGCCATAATAGATTTTTTGCTTATTTTTTTTGTAAGAAAATAAAACAATCATTGTATTTGGAAAATGTCTGGTTTCAGAATTGCAGGGGAATATAAAATGAGTTTAAAAGAGCATCAGAGGCCATTGGTACTGAAGGAAAGAGCGGCTTTGTTTGAAATAATTTATGTCTAAATTATATTTATCTCGGGAACAAGATCTTTATTCAAATTTTTTGGGAAATTCAATCTTTTTGTATTATCCTGTTACAGCCATAAAACTAGATCTTTGATTGGAACACCAGTTCTTATGAACAAATATAATCCTGAGGTTATTCAAATCTGATCAAAATATGAGTTAATGAAATGAGCCGCTCTCATGCGTGGGTGCTGTGATCTTTTTTCATGATCTCTCACTAATTTTATTAAGATTAGCATGGGAAATGTTCTCTTGTCATTATTGATCAAATCTAAAACCAACCCACCTTCCACTCATTGGATAAAAACAGACATAACTGTTTGGTATTTAGAGATATTTAGCATAGTTCACTTCATTCTTTGTTCATTTATGAATACGAGTAACAATTGGGGTTATGATTTCACATTCTGTAAGTTGACTCAAGTTAAGTGAACTCCAAATGTCAGACGATTAGAATGCAAACTGATGATGTACTGTGTCCATGACGTGAGGGAAGCGTTTTCATCATTTGAGGATTTTCTAACTTTGATTTACACTTCTGATGCCAATAATTGTAACGTGAGCTGTTTGAGCTCCTGGCTGATGAGTTCAGGGTGGATCTGTGTTTGCAGGATGTCGAGAAATGACGTGTGTGCCAACTCAACATTGTACGAATGCACTTTAAAAATATATTTTTACTTGCAGAGTAAATAAATATTGAAAAAGAAATGTGACTTGTTTGTTTTTGAGTCGTCAATGGAGTCTAATCTTTACGTTTGATCGTGGCTGCGTGGTGTAGTGCAGTTATGCTGTAATACCACCAGTCTGCAGGCAGAGGGCGGTCTCTGATCGGGCCTCTGTACGGAGGCCCCCATCTGCCCATCACACTCTCCAGCTCCACCGAGGGCAGCTTGGCTTCTGCACAACGTATTTGTAAAAGGTGAAATATTTTTATTGGGCCAGTTTTCCGAGCCATTCTTGTTAATGAAATAGAAAAATGCACTCTAATAAAAATTCCCATTGCGTGTTAAACACTGGTTTCTGTTAATGTTTGGCAGGAGAGATGTTGTTTCCAAACGTATCTCAGTGATTGTTCCAATACCTGTTAAACATTAGACATGCTGCTAATTCTTAAAGGGACATACCTGAATTTCTATCTTCCTATCTTTGAAGGCTGTGACCCCCTCACTTCACAACAAATCAACAATTGTTCACAGCATGACGGGATGTTTTATGTTGTGTGTTTTAAATTGGTTATCCTATTTATTTTTTTGTCCATACGTGCTATGTTAAAAAACCTAACCTTTTATTTTTACATACAGTATAAATTAAACAAGACAAAGAAAAATGCCTAATTGTATATTTCAAATCACAAAGCCGTTTTCTATGTTAAGGACATTTTTTTAAATGATCTTAAAAAATATAACAACAAATAACAACTTTAAAATAATGAATAAACGAATACATTGAAAGTAAAATGACTTAAATAAATAAACAAATAAAGATAATAACACAAATTAAAACTAACATGTAAACATAGCAAAAGTTGTCGATGGTACCTTGTAGTCTATTTTCCTGGTACTACCTCAGTCAAGATTCAGAGCCACAAAAAATAAAAACTGGATATAAGTCATCACCAGGGCGACATCCTGCACGAACCAGGCCGGCACAGCTAGCTTCAACAGCTACTGCCATCTCTCTCAGTGGAGGAAGTGCACCATTCCTTCAGCTTTGCAAATGTTTATAAGGGGAATTTACATGGAAAAATGAACTGGACATTTTGTTAGACCTCAAGAATGCACACAATGTTTTTGACTGAAAAACTCTGAATGTAATCACAACTCAGGTCTGTTTACAGGAGAACTCTACAAGGCCCCTGACCAAAAGAATAATGTAACTTCGACAAAATCACATAAGTCACTTAAGGCATCCTCCTGTGGTTGAATTATTCACTGCTGCAGTGACGTACATGTGTAGTGACACACGTATTCCTGACCACATCATCTTAATCTGCAGAGTACAGCTGTCAAACACACATCAGGTCAAGTCCTTCCTGTTGCCCGAGGGCACTTTGATGACATCACCACCTGCTCCAAACATCCCGATCTTGTGCCACTCTCATGCACTCTACCACCGTTATCCCCCCCACCTCATGTCTGTCAGCCATCCTCCCCCTGGCCTTCCTGCACAACTTCTTCCTCTCAACTGCAGTGAGCATGATGGTATTTGCTGGCGACCCGACTGTTCTTGTGTCCGAACCACCGTTACTTTTGCCGTCCAGACCTTTAACCCTGCCACTGACCGGATCTCCTGTTTCACAGAGTGTTTAGTACTGTGCATTTCCCATGTCACCCCAGGGATCCTCCTGCATTTCAAAGGCAACTACTCTCTTTTTGATATTTGTGTTCTATGTCCAGGTTTTGCATTTGTTGTGTGCAATGGATGTGATCAATGAGTGCATCGGGTTTTATTTTTATGAAAGGGGAATTATTCTTGGTACTCCATCTTATCTAGTATCGCAAGCTCAGCTGTTACAATGGCCAATCTGCTCCTCAGTTCCAAGTCCGAGGTGCACTGCTTGTTCAACAAAGACCTGAGGTAAACAAATGGTCTACTGTTTCCAGCACTTTCCCATCAGAGTCAAACTATTAGCTTATTGGTTATGAACAAGACTTCACTTTAAAATAGGGAACATGTTCTTAGATATAAATACCTCATTTTGAGTTATTTAGACACAATTAACACTTATAGTTTCATGTCTTGTTATATAAGAATAGATCATATTTGTTAAGTGTTATTATAATTTTAAGAAACTGGCTCGAGATACACTTTTTGTTATATTCCATGGAATGCTCTTAACATCCCGATAGCAATGAATATCTTAAGTGCTTTGACAAAAAATCCATAAAAGAATGTCATCTGTGGAAGCCGTAGTACTGTAAAAAGCACGACCAATCATTTGAGCCGGCCTGGCTAAAATAACTGGATGGCCTACCTGCCTGTCAGCCTTCCATGTGTGCACAAACTTATCTCGTGCCCTCATTGGTCATGTGCGCGTTCGTGTGTGTTGGAGGAGGGGCTCTGTAAGGAAGTGGTAGATTTTTTCCGGTTGTGTATTTTCAAATTCCAGCGCACTCGAGCTGGTTTCTCCAAAATCACCTACCCCACCTTTAAATGTCTCATTCCTTCCTATGAACTTACTATATTATCCTAAAAATGGTGGCAGGGACAATTTAGGGCTTTTTGAACAGAAAATATAACAATTTGGATGTCTGGATTATGGACAGGGCATTTAGATAATACCATAAGTGTTCACTAAAAGTGATAATATTAATAATTATAATAGAAAGAAAACATAGGCCTACTCTTGAGTCAATTTACATTGTTGTGATCTGTTAGTATGCTCTCTGCTGGTTTTTACTGTTGTTCTAAGTAACAGTGGGATTTAAACGGGGAATATATGGAGATGTTCTTTTTGTAGTGGGTGGAGATATGGTGTTTGTAACATGTGAGTATTTCAATTTATCGGAAAAAATGGTTTACTGAAAGCTATTTTGAGTAAATAAAAAGGAGTTCTGTAATATCATAAGGAGACATTCATTTTGTTGTTAAGATGGCATTTAACAACCAAGACAGATAGTATGATTAGAAAAAGACAGAGTGGAAACGGTTGGATTTATTTAACCTCAGTGTGCTAGAATTTCTATAGGTAATGCGTCCCGAGACCTGGACTGTCCCTCTACCTCAGACGGCTAAAACCCCAATCCGCCTGAGCAAACAAAGACCTAACCCAAGCAGGAGACTCCTCCTTCTGCATCGAACAGACAGAGAACCAGAGCTGAACCAGCAACAACAAGACTGCATCCAGAACTGCATCCAGAACTATCTCCACCTGTGGCAGCCAGAACCAAAGCTCCATAAAACAGCAAAGAGACTGTGAAGGAGGAGATTAAATCAAAGCAGTACAAGAACAGTGGCATGATGGGGGCTGCAGATGTAACTGGGCAGATGGCTGCATGAAAGAGTTACAGCGGATGGATTCAAGAGCTGATGGACAAAGGGGGAGAAGTCAGAATCAGAGGAGTTGGTGGAGCAGAATGTGAGGAGGCCGGGGTCACGGCTCGAGGAGACGGGAAGGGAATCAATCGGAATGAGTGAGTTTGCACATAAACACACTTATTCACAAACGCACATAAAAAGAACCAAATTTAAAGAAATTGAATTGACTTGATGAATAAGTAAAGATAAAAAGTTGTATTAACTATGAATTAATCAATTGGTAAATTAAAAATAGCAGTAAAGAGGAAACTATTAAAGTAAAATGAGAAAATAAACCTAAACACACTGAGGGTACTGTGGGATAAAGGGGGAGACATGATGGAAATATTCACTACACTTTAAGCAGTGGGTGTTTTGGAGTTAGGAGTACAGAGTAGAACATATTCTTCAATCTTTCCATCATGTTTACAAATTATTCTTTAAGACATTCTTATTCATGTGTGAATTTGGTAGTGTTTTAATTTGTTACAGTATTCATCTACAGTTTAAAGGAATAGTTTTAGTAACCACCCTATAAGATCAGACAAATATTTATTTATATAGGTCATGTTGAAGGGAAAGCTAGTTCTAAACAAAATATAGTATTTCAATTTGAGGTATTGGTTTCACCATTGTAGCATATATTACTACAGGAGAACTTTTTATGGGGAAATAACTGTTGTTTGTCGTCCAAAATGTAGAGTTTAAAATTAAATTAAAATTAAAAACAGCTAATTTAATTTTGAAAAAGCAATATAATTGGGAGTAAACAAATGCGGGGCCTTGGATCACCCATTGTAAAGGTGCATATTATTGACAACCAATAAGGAGAATGGGTCACTCAACCCACCCTGCAGTGGTTTTTAAAATCTTACTTGCAGCTTCACAGGGAGCGCATGGCACCAGATTATGAGTTTAAAAGACAAGCGTCACCACCTCCTAATGGACATCCATTTAATTAGTAATGAACTGAAATTTAGAGATGTTAAAAAGTAAAAACATACCTACCATAAGTGATAATTCGTAAATTCAACTACAAACCATTGATGTAATTACTTCTGTTTTTAAATCCTTGATAAAGGAAGGAGTGATTGTTACATGTTCGTACACCCAAGGTTCCACGCACTATAGGGAGGTTAACATTGTTCTTTAAGTGGACCAGAATTTAAGATAAATGAATATAATGAATTATGAAATACATAGCAGAGCTTTTGACTCAAGAAAATAATGACATGCACAAGTTTCTGAAATAGATCTATTAGACATTCTAATATAGATTAGGTGTTAATAAACTGCAGCAGTAGTACTATAAGGAAGTTACATTTTTGGCTAACAAATTTCAGGAAATGTGGGAAACAGCTGTCCCAATGAAAAGTTAGAGATATATGGAAAATGATAGTTGTAATCGTGAATTAATAAATGATAGCGCTCCATATATGACAGATTTTTGTAGACAAAGGATACTGGCCTATGCTGAAATATCAAAGTCTCTGCAGAGCACGACACATGGCCAAAAAGACTGAGACCAAATTACCTTTGACCCTGATTGATCTTGTTTCACATGAGTGCATGTGTATAATGTATTATATCAACATGGCTGTCAAATTCACAATCTACATTTTTCATTTAGGGACTGAAAGAAACCTGCCGCCCCAACTCGGATGTTCAATCTGACCATTGATTGACAGTTTTAGAATGAACCTGCT